TGATCCTAATACAAAGAATTGATAAATGTTCGAGGTGATGGATACCCCAATTACCCTGATTTGATCACTATACATCGTATGTTTATATCAGAATATCACACATATCCCATAAATAAGTGCAACTATTATGTATCCATAATAATTTAAAAATTAAAATGATTTTTTTAACTTTGTGAATGACTGACAGAACAGTAGGTTTGTTTATACCAGCAACACTACAGATATGTGAGCAATGCATTATGCTGTGACATCACAATGGCTACAATGTCACAAGGTGTAGGATTTTTTCAGTTCCACTATAATCTTTTTAAAATTAATTTTATGGGATTACCATCATATATAAAGTCTGTCATTGAACAAAATGTTCATATTCAGCATATGACTGTAATAAAGATTTCCCACCTAAAAGTGTTACTTGGTTTTATCTGAGGACATACTATTCAGCTGCATTGGGATTAGAGTGCTTTAAATAAAGATGGGTATGGTTATGGGTATGGATGTGTGTGTGTGTGTGTTTTGGGAGGGTGTTCGTTTATCTATGTCATCTCATTACAATCTAAAATTCATATAAGGATCACATTAACACTTTATTAGTTCAGTCTAGAATCAGAACTCATTGAAGCCATAAAATGATACAATTGCATAATGCAGAAAATATTCATTCTGTCTCTCTAGGTCTCAGTTTTCTCATCTGAGAAAGGAGAGATGTTGACAATCCCCAATGTTACTTCGGGCAGCCTGTGTGACTCACTGCCAGGGCAGGCTTGGCCTTACTAAGGTCATAAAGATTAATCTACTCTCTCAATAGGGCTGTTTCCATGAAATATGAAAAGGAACAACTTGGTGATGCATTAATTGAAGCTCTATTTCTAAAACAAACTAGTTGCAAAACTTCTGCCACTACCAAAAAGAGCCAATTTCCCAGTAAATGTGTTGACTGCAGTATGCTACATTTAGTGTCAACAAAGATACCACTATCAAAGCCATACACTTTTAGTGAATATTCCTTTAGTATCCACAGATATGACTTCATTTCTTGGCTTTATGGATAATTTCTTGAAGGACCTATACTCATTTTTAAATAAGCAAACATTTTTACTTAGGTATGATGGGCAATTTCCTTTTTCCTTAATATTTTCTTTTCAGCTGGGGTCTCACAATGTCACCCAGACTGGAGATGAGGTCTCACATTGCCCAGGCTGGTCTCAAACTGGACTCACGGTCACAGCTCACCACAGCCTTGAACTCCTGGGCTAAAGGGTTTCCTTAGGCTGGTAGAAACAGCAGCTTTTGAGCACAAACTTGTTGAAGGAGCCAGCCCGGCCTCATTCCCAAGGTCTTCTACTTCAAACAAAGGGCAGAGGGCATTTTCACTCCTGTTATCTTTCCCTACAGCAAACATTGTATTTTTATGTGCGTTGCACAATGAAAGGCAAGGTGACCGCCTGAGCACCTGGCTAAGGAAAAGCATGCCAGGGACAGGATGTGGATTCTGAAGTATTTACAGTGAATCCATTCAACCTGATTGCAAATGACTACAAAGCTGAGAGGCTCCCCAAATCTAAGTAATGTTAAGTCTCATCTAGCTCCACACATATAGAATGTGTATAACATCTTACTAGAAACATCCAATTTGCCAATACTTCAAACTCATTCCTCTTCCCCCTAACTCTCGTCTCTCCTATTCCCTCTGTTTTGTTTTGGTTTCTCTTATTCTTCCCAGGATCCAGGAGAACTGTCTGTTGTTATCCCTGGGAGGTGAGAGAGCAGAAGTATCAGAAACTACATATTTGGGAATAAGGTGGTAAATGTGGGGGTGGCCATAATGGACAAAGAATCAAACTCTTCTATCAGCTGAGTGGCTTTAAGGGAACAGTAAAAATGCTCATCCACTTAAACAATAAGAAAAAACAAACCTCCAAAGCTGGCCTATTCTATTTTCCTCAAATAATTGGTGGGGATTAAATGATAGAATTTATGTGAACAAAGGTAAAGTTTTATTAGTTGCAATGGTAACAATGGTATTTCTAAGCATGATAGGTGCAAATGGTAGGGAGACACTGTTTCATCATCGTAAAAGCAAAGTTATGGAACCAGATGAGGAAAGTCTGAGAGTTAAATAGAGAAATTATGATTTATACAGTAGACAATGAGAAGATACTGGAGATTTTTAAGGATGGTATTATACAGTGAATATTTTTTCCTAAAACCAGTATGAGGGAAATAAGACCAATGAAAGGACTGGAGTGTAAAGTGGAGGCATGCTAGGAAGATAGTGCAGTGATCTGTGCATGTGCTGAGAAGAGTGGCAATGGGAAGAAATCAAACAACAAATATTTCTCTCCCTTAAAAAAAGGCAACACCTCACTAGTTTTTTCTAATTATAAATGTTCAAAGAAGAAAATTCAGAAAATATAAAATTGTGATGAGAAAATAAAAAGCTACCTGTTACCACTGCTCATATCTTGACTGATTCCCTGCCTCCCCCAGTCTCACAAAAGATGTTTCAAAGAGTTTGGAGGCTGTCTAGTCAACCAAGAAGCATTCAGTAAATATGCAAGGATGGATTGAGTTCTATGTTTTGACACTGAGAATGGAGAGTTGCTATTAGAGACAGAGGTGCAACCAAACAAGAGGCATAGGTGAAAGGGGGTATCTAACAAAAGGCTGCACAGGTGGAATGAAATGGTCTCTGGAAAAGGTGGGAAGGCAGGGGAAAGCAGAGTAGAAGCCATCCTTTAGCCTGACAACTGAGTCCAAGAGGTCCAGAGGCTGCAGTTAGCGTGCTGGTGGCCACTTGATGAGTTAGTACTGGGGGTGACAGAATGCAAAGATTCTAGCCAGCACTGATATAGTCCAGTTTACTTTGTAGTGGGGACCATCACAGACCCTTATACTTAAGTCACAATACATATACCTATGTTTATATATCCATATATATGGACATGCATGTGTGTGTGTTTCCCAACTAAAATGCAAGAAGTAACTGAAACATGACTAAAGGGAGAAAAGTGATAGGGAAAAAACTCACGTAACTGCAAATTGTTTTATAATTGGCTTAAAAAACCAAAATGAATCGACATTACTAGTGGCCACTAATATTCATTGTATAAAAGTTACTTGTGTCTACATTCTGATGTAGAAATATTAATGTAGAAACATGTAAAAAAAACAAAAAACTTAGACAGCGACAGTTTATTCACATCTTGGAAGGTTTGGATATAAGGTGAAAAATGCATTTATTTCTCCATATCTGTTTTATATTTATGGCTAATTTGTCATAATTTTGGCAACATAATCCAAACAGTATATCTCACTCTATATAAGTGGGCTTATTATGTGTACATTCAGTCAATCTTCCCAATTAACTATTAAATATTCATACTGCTTTCAGCATCCAAATATTCACAGCATTCTGCCTAGGATGCCTTCTATAGTTTCATCCTAGTCTGTGGTCAAAGACTTCAGGTTTAACCCAGTTAGCTCAACAATTAATTCCATTTTGCAAATCTTAGCCATTGAATGGGACCAGAGTGGATTGAGAAACCCTAAAAAAGAAAAGCTCTTAGCATTTGAAAAAAACAAAACAAAACACAAGAACAGTGTGAATAATGTGGTACTGCAAATATCTTACTCCTTCAATGCTGATAGCATTACAATTAGTAAAAACTTTTGAAGAAAAGCCATCTGGTGATATGTATCAAAAGCCACAAAAATGTATATATTCTTTTGTCTGGGAATTTATCCTAAGGACAAAAAAATTCAAAGAAAACAGCTAAATGTGTAAAGATGTTCACTGTAGCATTACCTACTTTATCAAAAACAGAACATTCTAAATATTTATCAGTGGAATGCTCAGACATTTTGGAAGAAGAGGGTGTTTCTAGAGCACTGATTATGATGTAGCAAAGGTAGGACAGGGGCAGGATAAGAAAGAGAATGGGCAAGAGCATGTTCAACTAGTGATGGATATTAGCAGAGAGTACACACCTTAGAACTTGTTATAACATTATAGGGAGCCACCATAAAGGCCGTGGGATAATTGGGGAATGTCAAAGCTTCAAAGGACTTTAAAAAAAAAAAAGATTGCTAAACTGGGCTCGGTGGCTCAGCCTGTAATCTCAGCACATTGGGAGGCCGAGGAGAGTGGATTGCCTGAGCCCGCAGGTTCGAGACCAGCCCGGGCAACTAGATGAGACCTCGTCTCTACAATAAAATAAAAAATAGCCGGGTGTGATAGCACACATCTGTAGTTTCAGGCTACTGAAAAGGCTGAGGCGGAAGAATCGGTGAAGCCCAGAAGGTCGACGCTGGGGTGGCCGTGAGCATGCATGCCACTGCACCCCAGCCTGGGTGAAGGAGTGAGACTCCAACTCAAAAATCAAAAATCAAAATCAAAATAAAAAAGATTGCTGTACTAACAATTTACCAACAGCCAGTAAAAAGGAGGCGATGTAGGGAAGGGAGGGTCACATGGCAACACACTGGGTTCACTATCAGAGAAAGAGAGGGCCCACTAGAAGTCCAAACTCCATATGCATGCAACCTACTTATGTAGTAAATTCTCACAGATACCTTACAACTCTAAAACAAAATAAAATAAAAAGGAAGCTATAATGAGAGAATTAGGGGGAAAAAACACAGCAATTAAGATATTACAAAACCTACAAAGGTCACTTTCTTATTTACAAAAAATGTTTGTAACCAGAGATTTACTTATTTTCTCCCTTGCTGAACTACCATAGATTCCCTTCCCTCCCAGCATCCTAGTAACTGTGGGGCCCTGTTGCAGATGGAGATTTATTTTCCTTCCTCTGCACTGTCTTCCTTCTCAAAACCCAGAGTTCCAAGCAGCAGCTTCCTTCAGAGGTTCCAAATATCCCACATCACATACCTACTGCCTAAAAAAGAGCTAATGTAAGAAACTGAAATTCTGTGGGTTTTTAACAATTAATTTATAAAACGTAAAGAATATGTGACTTAAAAGGTGAATAACTTACAAACTGGAAGCAGCTCCTGACACTTGGTTCAATATTACTGCCCCCAAAGGATGCAACTTCACCCAGCTGTCTTGGGATTTGGATAGAATCATGCAGAAGTAGGCCCAGCCTGCGCTGGTCACAAAATCCTGTTGAACTTGCCACTTGCTTGAAAAGGTCTACGAAAGGAAGAAGAAAATTGCAACAATCAAAACAGAGCACCAGGTGGATACTAGCAGAACCTAACATCCAACTCAATTCCAGTACCAATTTGCAAGGGTAGCCAATACTTCCACAGAGACAGGTTACTTCTAATTTGTGCCAATCTGGATAGCTATTATTTTTATGGACCTAGCTAATCATCACTGTGTATATATAAAATATGACAACTTTTACATAAACTACAGCCCTGCAAGAAATGCAAGTTTACATGTATCCTTGACATCTGAATTTCTCCTAAGCCAGAACACAATCCCTTGGGACATACCAGGGGGTGCCAAAAAATGTATACACATTTTAAGAGATGTTAATGTTTGCTGTAATCAGAAGTGTCTAGATGCTGATGGTAACCACTTTGAGAACCTCTTGTAATTGCAGAAGTCAAATGTGACGTGTATTCATCTCATTAAGTATTATAATTTTAATACATTTTTTTCTTTTTCTTTTCTTTTTTTAGTTGGAGTCTCACTCCGTCACCCAGGCTGGAGTGCAGTGGCACACTCATGGCCATCACAGCATCTACATGCTGGGCTCAGGCGATCCTTCCACCTTAGCCTTCCAAGTAGCTGGAACTATAGGTGCGCTCTACCATGCCCAGCTAATTTTTGATTTATTGTAGATACAAGGTCTCGCCAGGTTGCCTGGGCTGGTCTTGAATCTGCAGGCTCAGGCAATCCACTCATCTCGGCCTCCCAAAATGCTGGGATTACAGGCTGAGCCACCGAGCCCAGCCCTTTTTTGTTTCTTTTCTTAACATGTGTATACATTTTTTGGCACCCTTTCTATTATATATATAGGATGTAGTCAATATCATAAAATTAGCATTAAGAGACATAACTAGCCCAAAGCACCATTTCCTTTGGACATCAGCAATTACATGTACCACAATTAGGACGTGTGTGTGTGTGTGTGTGTGTGTGTGTGTCAGAGTCTCACTCTGTCACCCAGGCTGGAGTGCAGTGGCACGCTTGCAGTTACCGCAGCCTTGACCTGTTGGGCTTAGGCGATCCTTCCATCTCAGCCTTCCAAGTAGCTGGAACCACAGGCATCTGTCCCCATGCCCAGCTAATTTTTTTATTTATTGTAGAGATGAGGTCTCCCCATGTTGCTCAGGCTGGTCTCAAACCCCTGAGCTCAGGCAATCGTCTCCCCTCTGCCTTCCAAGGTGCTGGGATTACAAGCGTGAGCCACTGCACCCGGCCATAATTAGGACTTCTTTATGGAGTCATAAGATCATCAAGTTTCTAGCCTATCATGTATGTGTTCTCACAGGATGCTGTGCACATTTGCAATTAGCTCATATCATGTTATACTGGCATTGATTTAATATGTGTCTGTCTTTTGGCAGGAGAGTGCTATCCCCTTGAGGATAGAAACCTTAGCTTGGTCTGTCAACTGTGTGCCAGAAGCATCTAGACTAGAACAGCAGTACCCAGTGGTTAGCAGGCTCCCAATAAATGTCACTGAGAGAATGAGTGAACACATCAAACACTTGCAATATCTGTTTTGTTCTCAGAAATAAAATCATTTTAATCATGCCTTATATTCACCTAGAAGTTGCCAAAAAAATTTAATCCAAGAGAGCTTTTCCTACCCATAAGCACACTTTAAACTCTAGAAAATTAAATATTTTAATGAGATAGCTAAGATGGCAGTAATAAAATTGAACTCACACGCACAGCTTTTTTTTACCATCTCTCCGATACACCTACATAGATGTTTATTTTCAAGGTTATGAATTATTTTCAAACATCTCATTCTGAAGTTAATATTTTTGTTTCACCAACCTCAAAACATCTTCCCTCTCAGTAGTTATTTGAAACAGTCTCAAAGCTCCCTTGATGATTCAATTCAGTGTTTACAATGTGCTGGTACTATTCTGCTGATAAGGCTAGATTAAAAACTAACCTATAATAAGTAACTACAATATTTAAAGGAGGAAAACACACAGAAATATCTTGCATATCCAATCTACATTTTAAAATGGCTAACGAAAGCTGTTCTATTATTTTTCTTTGGTTCTTAGGATGACAAAACTCAAATGGAAGCTACATAAAAGTAAGAGCTAAAACAGCTTGTGTATTTTGTGGCTTACTCGTGGAGGAGAAATGAGCAGTAGGACACAGAGTAGCCTGTCTTTAAGTCCAGTACATCTCTTCACATGTGTGGCTAGGTCTCAGGGGAAAAGAGAAAAGATGAGATAGACTTGGTTTGTTTAATGTTTTCACTGAAAATATTTCTTACAAGCTTTTATTTATATTTTAAAGATGTGGGGTACAGTTCAGGATTAGGTAGATAAGTGGTCATCATACAGGTACAGTTTGGGCCTCGCTATAGGTACAGTTGGGCCTCCCTTTGGTCCTCGCTTCGCCTGATTTCACAAGCTTTTAAAGAGGAAAATCAAGTACAGTCCTTCACAATGGAGATGGATGGTTGCTTGGCCATCGAAACCAGCTCTCCTTTAGCACTGGCTTTTAATTTGGATTTATAATTTTCAAGCAGAAAAACCCGATGGCTAATCAAAAGGAAATTCTGCAGGGTGGGTACATATTTACCCTTTAAGGAATGGCAAGCTGTCTGTCTCTCAAATAACAAAATGTTAGTCATGTCACAGAATTGGATGTGTTGGTACAACTTGCAGTAAAATGATTATAAAATAAACAATGTTTCTTGAACATGAATGCCAGATAGCACTCTTTAAATAAGAATCCAAAGACTACACAAGAGCAGGGATTAAACCTTCACATTTATTTTTCTGGCTTACAGAAAAGGGTTAGGAAATCAGACTTTATCCTCTAGGAACATGTGTTTTATTCAGACACAGTCAGTGTAATGTAAAATTATACTCAGACTGGAGAAGTTAATCCTCATTCTCTATTTAAATACCTGCAATTTAATGTTTGACAGGGAATGGTACAAACCAAATTTTATGACACTGTAAAAGTAGTTCTACATCTTACATGAAGAACCTGCTGTCAAATGAGAACAGTCTGTCATTTTCCATCTAGAAACTAGGGTAATTAGCCAACATTAATAAAAGAATACAGAGTTAGTACACATTACTTACATCTGTACTTGTCTTCCAAATGTGCTTTACACAGAGAAATGATGCCAGTTTTAAAAGACAGGACGCGGATCCTCCCTGTTCGTCCCCTATTATGAAGAATCAAACCAGAAAACAATTACTGCCAACTTCCTAGAGGGTAAATACTTCTGGTTAAGAATAAAGCCCCCAAAAGGAAAAAAAGAATAAAGCCCTGGATATGAAAACTCTATTGATCACTGTTTTATTATGATTGTTAAGAACTTTTCCAAATTCATTATTTGACCAACTCAACCAGTTTTCAATTCTTAAAAGCCCTTACTAGAACTGTAAGAGTAGTTCTACATGAAATAAGAAAAAAGTATCCTTCCATTCACCTATAGCCACGTTGGTTTAAGTCAGTAAGTGGAAGAATTACAACTGTGTACTAAGCTAATTTTGGTTGCTGAAACAAATTGCCTACTTTGGTAATTGAAGCCAAAAATATTACCAGCAACTAACTGCTCTGCTCTCTTAAACACCCATTTAGATTTTCATCAGCCCTTTATTGAGAAGAAATTTAATAACTTCAATTCATATAATATATAATATAAATGTTTATCTTCATAAGAAAAAAATACTCTATTAGAGAGCTTTCAAATATATGCTCTAAAAGAAAAATGTGTATGTAATCTATTGGTATGTCAGTGCTTTAATATAGATATGCTTCACTTTAAATACAGAAAGCTGAAATAAAGCATTCCACCTAACAAGCTTATTTCATCCATGGAGGAAACAAACAAAAAATAAAAATAAAAAGTTTTCCATTTTGTAGAAAATGTCTTTCAATAGCTTTTCAGCTTCTAATTTTATTATGGAAAGCTACTGGACTTTAAATATTGGTTAAAAAAAAGAAAAAAAGAAAAAAATTAGAATAATTGGCCCATCTAACACTTTAAAATCACAAAGGATAGGTCCCAGTTGGGGTTGGTTTTGGTGAAAAATATGTTGTCAATTAGTATAATTTGTTAAATCCCTTGGTCAAAAATAAATCTTGGGCCCTAATGAATTAACAAAATTGCCATCATTGGAAGATTTTCTTCTTTTTTCTCAATTAAGAAAAGGTAAATCAAAGTTTACCAAATAAGCTTTATAATATTAACTAAAGTCTTTAAGAAATCAAAATTATCCCCAAGTAATTTTCAGGCAAGTAGAATGAAGCTATAGTTTCAGAATCCATTCACATGTCATCTGCAAAGAAAACAGTGCCGGCTGGGCGTGGTGGCTCAAGCCTGTAATCCCAGCACTTTCGGAGGCCAAGGCAAAGAGGATTGCCTGGTCCAGGGGTTCGAGACCAGCCTGGGTAACTTGGTGAGACCTTTTCTCTACAATAAAATGAAAAAATTAGCTGGACGTGGTAGCGCTTGCCTGTAGTTCCAGCTACTTGGAAGGCTGAGTTGGAAGGATCCAACCAGTAGGTGGAGGCTGCGGTGGCCATGAGTAGCGTGCCACTGCAAGCTAGCCAGGGTGACAGAGTGAGAATCCAACTCAAAAAAAAAAAAGAAAACAGTGCCAAAATAGATTTGAGGGGAGACTTGAATACAAACCCTTACCCAAACAAATGTAAATGTAATCCAAAATTCAAATCCAACATGTTTAAAGACTTGGTAGATAATTACTACAAATTTAAAAGTCAGGTTGTACTGAAATTTTAAAAAGTGATAGCTTATCAAAAGAAAAAAATAAGATGGAAAAAAGGTATATATTTTAATGAAGAAGCTAGCAGAAGTCTACAACAAAGGCAAGTAGCAGACTGGGTAAGGTGGCATAAACCTGTAATCCCAGCATTTTGGGAGACTGAGGTGAGAGATTCCCTGAGCGCAGGGGTTTGAGACCAGCCTGGGCAACTTGGTGAGACCTCATCTCTAAAATTAAATAAATAAATTAAAAATAAACTGGAGCCGGTCTCAGCATGTAATCCCGCGCCTTTGGGAGGCTGAGGTGAGTGGATTGCCTGAGCCCGCGGGTTCGAGACCTGCCTGGGCAGCGAGACCTCATCTCTACAATAAATCAAAAAATTAGCCGGGCGTGGTAGTGCATGACTGTAATTCCGGCTACTTGGAAGACTGAGGTGGAAGGATTGCCGGAGCCCAGCAAGGAGAGGCTGCGGTGGCTGGGAGCGGCCACTGCACTCCAGTCTGGGTGACCAAGTGAGACTCCAACTCCAAAAAAAAAAAAAGCTGGTCATTGTAGTGCATGCCGGTAGTTCCAGCTACTTGGAAGGCAGAGGAAAAAGAATCGCATGAGTCCAGCAGATGGAGGCTGCAGTGGCCGTGAGCGTGCCACTGCATTCCAGCCTGGGCGACAGAGTGAGACTCCAACTTAAAAAAAAAAAAGCAAGTGACAAAGTAGTTGATACACAACTGCTTTCAGAAAACCTTTCCAGATTTCTAAATGGGAATATGTTCTTGATGTGTGAAATGAGGCATGTATTGATTTTGAGGTCTAAGAAGAATTCAGTCAGTATCAAGACCAATTCCTTCTGCTCTATACTTCAATTGTCTTCATTAAGCTTAGAGCTGGGGATATCTCCTGTGTGCAATCCAAGAGAAATAAACAATTATTCTCTAAGAGAGAGTGATGAATGGAGGTGCCAAACTGAAACTTTGTAAAACCTTATTAAAAAACAAAACAAAACAAATCTTCCTTGGTTTGAGGGGCTGAGTTTGCTGCGTTAAAAGCTTGTTTTCATTTTATTTGTCTTATCAATTCATAATCTACAAAATTCTCTTAAGTATCAACTAAGATCACTGTGATTTGGTGACAGGTATGTAAGCATCTCCAGGAGCATGTACATCCATGGCTTCCAGTGAGAGGGAGTGACCCCCCGAAGTGCATGGAGGAATTCCAAAATATGTGGGCAAGAAAGAACCAATGGCTACATGTTGACTCGTTCTACTGTTTGAAAAACGAGTATCTCAGGGTTTTGTTTATTTTCTAATCTGAGAGCAATCTACTTTCTGGCTTTTACCTCCTAGCTTATCAAAATATTTTTCAAGTCATATAAATGCAGAAGTGATTCATCACAGGGACAGCATTAGGTCCACAGCTTCTGGGGCCCCGTTAGAATGCTAATTACACTGTCACCATTCTGTAAGCTAAGCCTTCTGTGACAGAGCCCAAAAAAACCTTGTCGTACTTACGTATCATAAACATTCAGCAGCCAGTTGAGACACATATCCACACAGAGAGGGACGTTGACCAAATTGTTGTGCTCTTGCTCCAGGCGATCATAAATAGTAGTCAAACAATTAATGATCTGCAGGATATCCATGGGCTGGTCATTTTGCTTGAGGTTGTGCTGGTCCAAGGCATCACATGCAGCTGACAGACTCAAGAGATCCACTGTAAAAACCACATAAAATCACAAATGATTCAAAGAGTAAAATCCTCCTTTCGTCATCCTTTCTTTTCCTTTGAGAATCCTGGTTAGGGCTATCTTATACCCTTTAGTAAACACCAAATTTAAACCCCACCCTTTTTTTTTTTAGAGTGCTTTGTTTTCCTCTCTCAGCTCTAAATTGATGAGTCTCACCAGTATTCAGGGTCTGAGACTGTTCTGAAATTTCATAGGCATTGGGAGAAGACAAGAGTGAAGGACAACTCTTATCCCTGAAGCAATGGGGAATATCTGAGAGTTAAGAGGACCTATTCTGTTCTACATGAACAGAGTCCATTTCCACCTGAATATTAAAAAAATAATGTTTTAGCAGAGATTTTAGTAGTATTAGAGAAGGTCTGTTAATCTGTATAGTTAGGGTTGTGTAAACTCTATTTCTAGCTATGCATTTATAATCATTAAGCGTGTTTCTCCCTGGAATATCAGTCATCTCAGCATCTCTCTGCTGCCTTAACATTAGGTGGAAAAAATAGTCTTCACTAAAATTTTCTGTAAGCAAACTAAAGTAACTACATAATCTATTCAGTTTTTAGACCTGAGGCTCATTTATTTCTCCTTACACATTGTATTTAACAATGTACTTTTCAAGTATTCTAAGAACTTTATAAGACTGAAAGAGGAAAATTCCTTTGATCTGAGATGATATTTAATCATATGCTGAAAGATAAAAATTTAACAAAAGTGAAACTTCAACCTTGTCCAACATCAGCAAATCACAAACTTTATTCCCAAGTGTCACGGAAAGATGCTTTTCTCTAAAGCCAATTTAGTAGCCAAATTAGAAATGCAACAACATTGCTTTTATAAACCTTAAACACCTAAACTCTGGTTGGAATTCTCAGTCTTTAAAGACAAGGAATCAATGTTCATTAAGTAAATCTTTCACACACCTAGGGGGAAGGGGCTATACAATTATCAATTCAGCTTCAGAAAAAAATAAATCATCCCACGCAGTAAACAGCTTTCCCAGTAATAAAGAAACACAAACTTAAGACTTTAGTGTATTTTACTAGTTATTCGTGGCTAGCTCTAATCAAACACTAAGAACAACACAAAAATAGTAGTTAATACCTATGTAGCACATGATTTAAAAAAGAAAGAAAGAAAGAAAAATGGAAGTTTCTCTGGAAGCATGAGTCCTTATGGTGAAAGCAGGATTGTTTTTCTTTTTGGTCTTTCATCCTACTTGAGTAAAGCTCTGTGTTCCTATCTACCAGTTTCCCTAAAATATCCTGGACTAGTGCCTCTCTGATGGAAGGAAAGCCCCCTCTCACTTCACTTTAAAATACTCTAAAAAGGCTGGGTGCGGTGGCTCATGCCTATAATCTCAGCACTTTGGGAGGCCAAGGTGAGCGGATTGCCTGAGCCCACGGGTTGGAGACCACCCTGGGCAACTTGGCAAGACCTCATCTCTACAATAAATCAGAAAATCAGCCGGCATGGTGGTGCATGCCGTTAGTTTCAGCTACTTGGTAGGGTGAGGCGGAAGGATCGTCAGAGCCCAGCTGGTTGAGGATGCGGTGGCCAGGAGCATGGCAGTGCATTCCAGTCTGGGTGACAGAGTCTGGGTGACAGAGTTTGACTCCAACTCAAAAAAAAAAAAAAAAAACTCCAAAGATAGAGAAGTGATCTCTTTTCATGGAAGCTGAAGTGACAGAGAGGAACATAATTTGGGAGACAGACTTGAGAAGGAGTCTGGTGGGGAAACAAATTGAAAAAATTAAATAAAGATAACAACTCAAGCAGGCAGGCAGCTGTGAGGAGGGCAAGGCCCAGTAGGGAGAGCATGGGAGGCTTGAGAGAGATCCAGGGACAAAGAACTTAAACTTTCACTCTCTCTTTCTTCTTTGTGTTTGACTTCCTCAGAGGGCACATTTTCAAGTACAAGTGGTGAGGAGACTTAGAAACACAGCACATTAGTTCCATTAATAGAGGAGAGGAACAGATTTCTTCCAAACACAAACATTTCCAATATGTTTCCTTATACATTGAAGAAAGCTATGGGTAGTTTGAAGTTTTTCTATTATTTTCTTTTTTGTTACTCTTTTGTAATCATTATAAATATTATGCTTCATATCCAAGGATACAAAAACTAAGAAGTGAGAATTTTTAGACTCACTTTTGTATTAAGAGTCTAATTTACCCAGGTGATAGAAACAAACAAAGAGCAAAATTGCATGAATTTCATTTGACTGGGTCTGCTCTTATCTCTGTACAGGTGAATGGGTAACACACAGAACAGAAAATTTGAAGTATAAATAGCTCCAGAGGGGAACAAAGCAATTGCTCTGAAATTACAGGAGCAGAAGATGACACAGTTAGGAGAGAATACTGTGCAGTGTGTTCTGCTAAAACTAGATGTGGTTAAACACAAGAACAATCCATCACGGAAGATTTTCCCAAAACAAACACATCAAACAGAATTCCACTTTCATGGAACAATTTTTAAAGACTTCTATTTAAGTATCAACAGCATATGATATGAACCTGGAAAGAGGTGAGAAAATCGAGAGGGACAATTTAATTGCCACACATCCATAAACTTCTCAAAAAGAATACACGAAGATTTTCTGATGAAACATTAGACATAATGGTTAGCTGTTTCTAGAAGTGTCAATAAGCAACCAGCAGACACAGTTTTGCGAAACTATTTTTTCCTCAAGCTAAAAATTTCCATTTAAAAAATATATATCCTTTAGCGCACTCACTAGGAAACATATTTTTAAAGCTATATAAAAACCCAAGAATTCCAATAGATCCTTTCCTTCAAAAATATTTTTACAGCAGCGCATGCTATAGGCTTTGAAGCCATTGAAGAATAGGGACCATTTTGTGGTGCCCTTCATGCATGAGGGCTGTGGGAGAGAGAGAGAGTCGGGAAAGGACAAAAATGACTAGTTCTCCAGGATCCTCTTTGCTAAGCAGAGAAAGCAGACAATGAGTAGGGAGGGAGGCCTTAAGCACAAGGGTCCCACTAATGGTTTCTGAGGCTCTGGTTGCGCCTACTCATCCTCTCAACCTCCTAGGTTCAAATGTTAACTCTATTCCTTTCTCTATATGCCACAATGAGGAGCTGAGATGCATTTTTTTTTGTCTTTTATAGAATCATAGACAGATACTTAGAGCTAGAAGTCCCTTTAAAATCATTTTGCCGGTTGAGCAAACTGAAACCAGAGATATGGAGACTTGCTCTGGGTGTTATGGCAGGATACCCAGATTTTCTTATTTCTCCTGGAGATACATACTGAAAGGTGAGAAGGTGGGTGGCAGAAGGTGTCCTTACTGACTTCACAGAAAAGGAAAACCCTTCTGCATTCCATACTAATGACGACAGTGGGAGAAAAGAGAAGCATCAAAAAGTTGATAGTGGTTAAAAAAAAAGTTCCATGGTGCTCATATAACCCCAACCTCAGCCTAAACATTCTATGTTGATATAAATAATTCTTTAACCTAGCTAGCACAGACATAGAAAGAAGAGAATAATGATGGAAGAACTGCTCTATGTTTGCATATTTTTCTTGCCTGGGCAGCAGAAGGTGCTTGTGGGAAGAGGAGACAATTGTTGATACCACATCATTCTACAGACAATTCACACTTAAGGCTGAAGGACTTTCCAAGCAAATCCATGCACAGCAATAAAGTCAGTGCACTTTGATGTAGTTAACAGTGCAGTGAGGATTAATCCCAGAGGGTTTGGAGTTGGCATAAGATGTTTTGCTAACATATCTACACAGCGCAGAGCCCTGGTCAAGGCAACGAAAAGAAGTGACTTTCTGTGTTGGTGCATAGCCATGGGTTTCAAGTTATCACAATTGTTTATTGCCAACAAGAATACCGACTATTTTTATTTTTATTTATTTTATTTATTTCTTATTTTGAGTTGGAGTCTCACTCTTTCGCCCAGACTGGAGTGCAGTGGCCGCTCCCGGCAATCCTTCTGCCTCAGCCTTCCAAGTAGCTGGAACTACAGGTGCGCGCTACCATGCCCGGCTAATTTTTGATTTATTAGAGATGAGGCCTCGCCAAGTTGCCCAGGCGGGTCTCGAACCCACGGGCTCAAGCAATCTACTCACCTCAGCCTCCCAAAAACGCGGGATTACAGGCTGAGCCACCAAGCCCGGCTTTAGTCTCAGTGAGACCTGCAAAGGCCACTGCATTTGGGGCTGGCTACATAGGGAGTATATACCTAGGTTACCAGCAGGTAAGAAACCCTGGCTAAAATTCCAATTTGTGCTCCTTGGTTTCCAAGGTGTTTTGTGCTCACATCAGTGACTTTTGATCCAGAGAAAATGCATCTTGGTGTGGCCCTTGCAGAGAGAGAGAGAGAGAGTAATTAGAGCTTATACCTGGCTGTTCTGGACCCTATGCTGTGAGGCAACCTGTGGCTGTGATGCATATCCTGGTTTTAATGGTGTTGGTATATTGCATCCTCTTCCTGCAATGAACTCAGCAATTGATCCCTGTTTAACTGCCACTGTCAGTGCAGCTAGTGTCAGAAGTGAGATTATTTAGAAGACCTCCCCCATCTTATTCTTAGCTAAAAAAATGACTAACACATTATTTATAAAAAAAAAAGATGATTCTAATAAAAGGAATAAAAGTGAACCTTGGTTGCTGGTCAACAAGCTACCTTTGGTTTGAAGGAGCACAGGTTTTGAAATTAGTTACTGATAATACAATACAGCTTTCTAGTGAAAGTGACAGAACCTGAACCAAAGGAGCTAACAAAATGAATTAGAAGGCAACTGCAAACTAATGGCTGCTAAAAGGTCAATTCCTTGGTTGAGTTAGCTAAAGCTAAAGTCAATTTAGAATCTTCTTCAGTTGATCATCACCCTTTCTCGCCTGCAGGTGGAGTTCCAACCAAAAAATATCACTTTTGATAAATGGGCTACACCTATGAGACCAATTACAATTAAAAGGATAATTCAAGTGGGGCATTTAC